TGTGTGGGACCCCCGAGCGCCCGAAGGGGAGGGGTGGGGGCGGTGGGGAGAGCAGGGCGTGGGGGCAAAGTGGGGGACACGGGGACATTGGGGGCGGTGGGGACAGTGGGGACACCAGGACACGGGGACAGTCTGGGGGACAGAGGGACATTGGGGACGGTGGGGACACCAGGACACGGGGACAGTCTGGGTGTTGGAGGTGGGGCAGGGGACACGGGGACAGCAGGGACACCAGGACACGGGGGCAAACTGGGGACACTGGGGACATTAGGGACATCAGGACACAGGGACAGTCTGGGGTACATGGGGACACTGGGGACATTGGGGACATCAGGGAGACCAGGACACAGGGACAGTGCGGGTGCTGGAGGTGGGGCAGGGGACACGGGGACATCGGGGACACCGCTAGGGACACTGGGGACACCAGGGCATGGGGAGAGTCTGGGGGACACAGGGACAGTGGGGACATTGGGGACATTGGGGACACCAGGGCATGGGAACAGTCTGGGGGACACAGGGACATTGGGGGCGGTGGGGACACCAGGACACGGGGAGAGTCCGGGTGCTGGGGGTGGGGCAGGGGACACGGGGACACTGCTGGGGACACTGGGGAGAACAGGACATGGAGACAAACAGGGGGACACGGGGACACCGGGGACACCCGGGGAGGGACACAAACAGGGGGACACGGGGACGCTGGAAGTGGCAGGGGCTGGGGGTGGCACCGGAGGGGGCTTGGGGACAGCGGGGCCACCAGAAGTGGGGACACACGGGGTGGGACAAGGGGACAGGGACGTGGGGACGCTGGGAGTGGCACGAGAGGACACTCGGGGTGCTGGGGGTGGGGACACAGGGACACCGGGGACACCCGGGCTGGGACACAGGGAGCCAAGGGGTGCTGGGCTGGGGACACTGGGAGTGGCACGAGGGGACACTCGGGGTGCTGGGGGTGGGGACACAGGGACACCGGGGACACCCGGGCTGGGACACAGGGAGCCAAGGGGTGCTGGGGGTGGGGACACGGGGACAGCAGCAGGGACGGGGCACGGGGACGCAGGGACACCTGGGATGGCACGTGGGAACCTGCGGGGGGCTGGGGACACGGGGACAGCACCGCTGCCACATCCCCTCTGTGCCCCCCAGGGCCCTGTGCCACCCCCGTGTCCCCAACCCTCCGTGTCAGCCCAGTGCCACCGAGCCCCAATGCCACCCCAATGTCCCTCTATGTGTCCCCAGTGTCCCCAAGCCCCAATGGCAGCCCAATGTCCCTCCATGTCGCCCCAGTGTCCTTCCATGTCACCTCAGTGCCACCGAGCCCCAATGCCACCCCAATGTCCCTCCATGTGTCCCCAAGCCCCAATGCCACCCCAATGTCCCTCTATGTGTCCCCAGTGTCCCCAAGCCCCAATGGCAGCCCGATGTCCCTTCATGTCACCCCCATGTCCCCATCACCTCCCTTGTCACCCCAGATGCCCACGAGGTCCCTGTCACAGGCCACCACGGCGGGGTCCGGGGCCACCGTGGGGGGATCCGGGACGACCACGGGGGGATCTGGGGCCACCACGGGGGGATTTGGGGCCACCACAAAGACGAACTGGGCCACCACGGGGATGCCTGAGCCCACCCCAGCTGGATCTGGGGCCACCATGGGGGACACCAGGACCACCACCCAGGGGACCGGGACCACCGCGGTGGGGTCTGGGGCTGTCCCGGCGCCGTCCGGGGCCACCACGGAGAGCTCCGGGGCCACCCCCCAGGGGACCGGGGCCACCGCGGCGGGCTCGGGGGCCGGCGGGCGCTGGTGGCGGGTGGCGTTGGCCCGGGCGGGCTCGGGGCTGGCCCGGGCGGGCTCGGGGCTGGCCCGGGCTCGGCGGCGCTGGGACGCGCTGGCCACGGCGTGGGCGCTGGCGCTGCTCTTCGGGCTGCCCCAGGTCGGCATCTTCGGGCAGCGCGAGGTGGCCCCGGGCGAGAGCGACTGCTGGGCCACCTTCGCGCAGCCCTGGGGCGCCCGCGCCTATGTCACCTGGGTGGCGCTGGCCGTGCTGGTGGCACCCGCCGTGCTGCTGGGGGTGCTGCTGGTGGCCGTGGCCCGCGCGCTCCGGGGGTCCCCCGGGGGTCCCGGGGGGCTCGGGCGGGCCCGGGCCAAGAGCCACCGCATGGCCGTGGTGGTGCTGGGCGTGTTCGTGCTCTGCTGGAGCCCCTTCTTCTGTGCCCAGCTCTGGGCTGTGTGGGACCCCCGAGCGCCCCGAGAAGGTGAGAGGGGACAGGGGACAGGGACACGGGGACACGGGGACATGGGGACACGGGGACAGGGGACACGGGGACAGGGATATGGGGACAGGGACATGGGGACACGGGGACAGGGATATGGGGACAGGGACATGGGGACACGGGGACAGGGATATGGGGACAGGGAGACATGAGGACACAGGGACAGTGAGCTCTGCTGGAGCCCCTTCTTCTGTGCCCAGCTCTGGGCTGTGTGGGACCCCCGAGCGCCCCGGGAAGGTGAGAGGGGACAGGCACACGGGGACAGGGACATGGGGACACGGGGACATGGGGACAGGGATATGGGGACAGGGATATGAACACGGGGACAGGGGACACAGGGACAGGGGACACAGGGACATGGGGACAGGGACATGGGACATGGGGACAGGGGGACATGGAGATGGGGGTTGGGGACAAGGAGAAGGTGACAGGGACACAGTGATGGGGACATGGGGACAGGGGCCAGGGAGGTGACAGTGCCATGGGGGTGACAGGACTGTGGGGGTGACAGCGCCATGGGGGTGGCAGGGCCGGGGAGGTGACAGCGCCATGGGGGAGGTGACAGCGCCATGGGGGAGGTGACAGCGCCATGGGGGAGGTGACAGCGCCATGGGGAGGTGACAGTGCCATGGCGACATCGCCCAGCTGAGCGTGACCCCGACATTTCCCACGCCGCGCTCCGGCTGGGGCTGGCTGTC